GTATGGTGAAAGGATACAACCCTGACACACACCTTTCTTGACTTTAAACCACACAGTATCCCCTTGTTTTGTTTGAACAACTGCCTCTTGGTCTGAGTATGGGTTCCTCGTGAGCACAATTAAGTGTTTTGGAATTCCCATTCTTTGAAATGTTATCCTTAGTTTGTTACGATCCACTCAAGTCTAATGCCTTTGCATAGTCAATAAAACACGGGTAAGGATCTTTCTGGTATTCTGTGCTTTCAGACATGATCCATCTTGTATCAGCAGTGATAACCTGTTCCACATCCTCTTCTGAATCCAGCTTGAATTTCTGGCGGTTCCCTGTCAATGTTTGCTGCACCTGCTTTTGAATGATCTTCAGCAAAATTTTACTTTTGTGTAATATTAATGATATTGTTCGATAATGTCTGCATTCTGTTGGATCACCTTTCTTTGGAATGGGCACAAATATGGATCTCTTCCAGCCAGTCGGCCAGATAGCTGTCTTCTAGATTTCTTGGCATAGACAAGTGAGTGTTTCCAGCCCTGCATGTGTTTGTTGAAACATGTCAGTTAGTATTCTGTCAATTCCTGGAGCCTTGTTTTTTGCCGATTCCTTCAGTGCAACTTGGATCTCTTCCTTCACTACTATCAGTTCTTGATCACATGTTACCTCCTGAAATGATTGAATGACAACTAATTCTTTTTGGTACAGTGACTCTGTATTCCTTCCATCTTCTTTTGATGCTTCCTGCATCATTTAATATTTTCCCCATAGAATCCTTCAATATTGCAACTCGAGGCTTGAATTTTTTCTTCAGTTCTTTCAGCTTGAGAAATGCAAGTGTGTTCTTCCCTTTTGGTGTTCTATTTCCAGGTCTTTGCACGTTTCATTATAATACTTTGTCTTCTCCAGCCGCCCTTTGAAATCTTCTGTTCAGCTCTTTTACTTCATCATTTTTTCCTTTCACTTTAGCTACTCTACGTTCAAGGGCAACTTTCAGAGTCTCTTCTGACATACGTTTTGGTCCTTTCTTTCTTTCCTGTCTTTTTAATGACGTTTTGCTTTTTTCATGTATAATATCCTTGACATCATTCCACAACTTACCTAGTCTTTTATCATTAGTGTTCATTGCGTCAAATCCATTCTTGAGATGGTATCTAAATTCAGGTGGGATAAACTCAAGGTCATACTTTGGCTCTGGTGGACTTGTTCTAATTTTCTTCAGCTTGAACTTGCATATGAGCAATTGATGGTCTGTGCCACAGTTGGTCCCTGGCATTGTTCTGACTAATGATATTGAGCTTTTCCATCATCTCTTTCCGCAGAAGTAGTTGATTTGATTCCTGTATACTCTTATCTGGCGAGGTCCACATATGTAGTTGCTGTTTATGTTGTTGAAAAGGTATTTGCAATGAAAAAGTTGTTGGTCTTGCAAAATTCTATCACATGATCTCTGGCATCATTTCTGTCACCAAGGCCATGTTTTCCAACTACCAATCCATCTTTGTTTCCAGCTTTTGCATTCCAGTCACCAGTAATTATTAATACATCTTGATTGCATGTTTGATAAATTTCAGACCGCAGAAGTTGGTCAGAATCTTCAGTTTCTTCATCCTTGGCCTTAGTGGTTGGTGTGTAAATTTGAACGTGGTGTGCTTCTCAGAATGATAGCTTTATTGAATTAAATCATATCCTGTAAATTAAAAAGAAAAATAGAAACAGGAATAGTACCTACATCTTAGGATGCTTATGAAGATTAAATGAGAAAATACACAGAAAGGATTTAGAATAGTGCCTGTCACATGACACATGCTGAGTGTGTGTCAGTAGCCCTGGTTATTCCTGGGTTCCTTGGTTCCTTTACTTGTAGATGATTTTCATGTGGCATCTGTCTTCCCCCCGTGTGTGTCTCTGTGTCTAATCTGCTCTTCTTATAACTCAGAAGTGATTAGATTTGGAACCTATCCTACTCGGATATGATCTAATTAACATAACAAAGAAAACCCTATTTCCAAACAGGATTGCATATACAAGTATAGAGGTTAGGATTCCAACACATTTTGTTGGTGACAACATTTAATCCATAACAAAGACACTTACTACATAAAACTGTTCTCTAATATTTTCTATTTTAAAGTAGGAAATATTTTAAAATTAAGTTTTTTTAAGTAAAAAAAAAATAAACTTTTGTTGTGGCGGAACATATATAACAAAAAATTTGCCATTTCAACCTTTTTTATGTCTATGATTCAGTGACATGAATTACGTTCCCCACATTGTGCAACCTCCCTATTATCCATTTCCAAACTTTTTCATCACCCTTCACAGAAACTCAGTGCCCCTTAAGCAGTATCTCCCCATACCCCGCTCCCACTGCCCTAAACATTATTATCTGCCGGCCATTCCCCCAAGTTGCTGGCAGGACGCACTGCTGGGTCACGGCCCTGAGTCTGGAAAACCCTGCATGAAGCTTAGGCGTGGGACTTACCCCGAGTCCTGGGCCCAGCAGTGCTGCCAAGCTGAAACATTTGATTGTTTGTCTCACGAGTGACAGTAGATGTGACTGGCCCTGTGCTGGGGTGTGTAGCTGGGAAAAGTCCCAAGTTGGTGAGAATCCACGTCCAGGCTTGGGGAGTATGCAGAAGAAACAGCAGAATATCCATAGAAACAGTTCGGCCCCAGGGTCAGCACTGCCAACCATTGTAATGTCTGTTCTGTGGAGACCATCCACTTGGTTGCTGGTTATCTAGCGCCCATGCCCAGAGTGCTGCCATGTCAGGCACTGGGCACAAGGCCAGTCACAGCCTTGCCCATGGGCTCCCATCTCACCTGGCCACAGGCTCAGGGAACAGTGTGCGTAAAGGAGGTCTGCACCAGTGGCCTGGGGGCATGGGGGAAAAGGTGGAGCTTACCTACACTAGGCGGAACTCCCCCAGGCCCTGACCTGGTTGGAGAGGGCCGGCTGGAAAGGTGGAAGGCAGGAAAGCAGGTTGACTAGCCCCCCAAGCTGAAACTGGGGTGTGTGTCTAGGAGTTGGGTATTGCTGAGGGTGAGTGGGGGCAGGTAGGCCTGGCTGAAGGTCAGGGAGGGCCTGAAGGGCAAGACCAAGAGAGGGGACTGGCCCAGAGGAGCCTTGAAGGGGCCATTTCAGCACCTGCCCTGCCCTCCCTCTGGGCAGAAGAGCCAAGAAGAAAGAAATAGAGCAGCAAGGACACATCCATCCAGAATCCGTGCAAAGGTGGAGGCCTGGCTGACTCAACATCCAGGCCCAAGGCAGCCTGGTTTATTTTCTTAGGAACTGCCTAAGGCTCTGAGGAACTTTCCCTCCTGCCCTCTACACTTGACTCATTTCTTGAGTGGGGCATAAGAAGCATCACACGTCAGGGTGGATTTCCCTCAGTGTGAGATGGGGAGGAAACATAAGTACAGGGCAGGAAGCTTGTAATTTCTATCCCCAAATATAACCCGAGTCCGTGTGGTCTCTTCCCTCCGTGCCTCACCCAGACCACCACCCGCCTCACCTGGGCCAGGGCAGCAGCCTCCTAATGTCCCCTTGCTGCCACCCTGCCCTCTGCATCCAGTACCTGGGGTTGCAGTGACCTTTCCAGATGGAGTCTGATTCCTCTCCCTCTCTCTGTCTCTGATTTCTCTCAGTCTCTCTCTTTCTCTCACTCTTTTGCACACACATACAGTCTCATACAGTGGCACACACAGTCTCTTACACACACATACACTAAAGCTCAAGTCTTTGCTCATGTTTTTCACTGGGCTTGTCTGTCTTAATGGCTTTAAGACATTTTAATTGTGCTCGGCGAACCCATCAAGCCCCTGCGTGATCTGGCCTCGTCCCCCGCAGCACCCTCCCGTCCCTGCCCCTGCCCTCCAAACTTCAGCCCCATGGAGGAATTTCTCTGTCCTCAGCCACATCGAGCTGTCTCCCACCTCAGACCCACAAACGGCTGCTCTCTGCCCACAACGTCCCCCCCA